GATTATGGAGTCACGACTGTGTAATCTAAAGAAATACACAAAATCTCTTAACATGGTGAAGTTTGATTGACTTAAGTATTAACTGTGCTTTGGCTGGCGTGTCTTTCACTCAGGTCAGACTACAGCTGTAACAAGATGTAAATCAAAGGAAACAGAAATTACAACAACTTAACTAAAGACTACATTGTGAACGTACAGACAATATGCGTTCCACAAATAGAAACTAATACTGCGGTAGGATGTGAATCTGACGTGTGTGTGTGTGTGTGTGTGTGTGTGTGTGTGTGTGTGTAGTCAATGGTTCCAGGTTGGGTCGTCCCCATCTGGAGACTTTCCTTCCTAATGTGACAGAGTTTACCCTCCGCTTGCCGGACCGATCAACCCGCTACAAGTTCTTCCTGTCAGCGATGACCCAGGTGGGAGCAGGAGAGGTCTATGCTGAGGAAACCCCGCACTTCACCAATGAGGGTGAGTGTTTCTACGTGTGACTATTTGTTTGCCAAAAGAAACAAATCCAATTCTGTTACTATTATTGGTGATTAACTTGACGTTCACAGGTTAAGCCACAAAAAAAATACTAAGATGGAATACCAAATGTAATCTGTAGCTGCCTGACAATATATCACCATCTGCTTGTAGCAAAGTATCATTCGAGTGATTTCTTTTCACAGAAATGCTTGAACTTTTCAGTTGCTCCCACATTTAATCGTTGATTAGTTTGGTTCAAAGAGCCACAGATGCCCTCAGCATTGTGACTGTAATACTGATGAAATCCCATAGAATGGGTAGCAACCAGGCCTACAAGTACCTCAAAGAGTACTATTATATGTAGGAGCTGACCTCATCTGAAACACAGAAATTAAAATGTAATTAAAATTGGCTTAGATGTAACTCAACACCTTTGCCTCTTTAAGTATTGGTGGATCTGGTATTCCTGCTTCCTTTTCTACCCACCTCTCTGCTACTCGCTGCAGATTGACATCATTAACACCAGCTTTCCTACAACTTTGTCTTTTTTGCAAGTCATAATATAAAACTATTTCAGCCTGGGGGCTGCTCGGTGGATCAGTGTTTAGCACCGTCGCCTCACAGCTAGAAGATCCCTGATTCTTTCTGTGTGGAGTTTGTATGTTCTCCCCGTGCAGCGTGGGTTCTCTCCAGGTTCTCCGGCTTCCTCCCACACAGTCCAAAAACATGTTGAGGTTAATTGATGATTCTAAATTGTCCGTAGGTGTGAATGTGAGTCTGCTTGTTTGTCTCTCTCTGTAACCCTGTGATGGACTGGTAGCCCATCCAGGTAAACCTGCCTTCACCCTGAGACAGCTGGGATAGACTCCCCTCCCCGACCCTAGTGAGGATTAAACAGTGTATAGATGATGGATGGATGGATGTTCAAGCTGGAAACTGATTCTAGAAAAGAGTAATGATTCAGAAAATGTAATTTTATTCTGAAATTAATAGATAAGAATAGAAATAGAAATAGAAGTTATGCAAATGGTTAAAATAGATTAGTAAAGATTTTTTTTTTTAGGTGTTTCAAAATAGGTACCTAAAAGTATGGATGACAGTTGAAATTCTTAGCTAACCCAGCGTTGCCATTGCTTAAACTTCTGGCATGAGACACGTTGTTTCATCTATCACCGTCATGCCGCATAAGGAAATCTCAGATGAAACAGAAACTTGTAATAACTCAGATTATTAGGACTCACCAATATTGAGTGTAGTCCTGTTTTTAGCAAAAGTGAGAGCTGAAGTTTCACTTGTTGCTTCCAGCTGTTTGTAGAAGTATTTCTCTTAAGTTAAAGAAATATCTGTAGAATCAGATAGCAGCAGGATCCAAATGAGCATCTCCAAAGTGAGGGAGCTGCGTGCATTTGTAAACATGGAATAAGAGTGGCAATTCATTAATTACCTATAACTCTACATTTTCCCTGATATGAAGACATGGTTCCATCACATTCTTACAGCAAGCCACAATTTGTACTCTTCTTTACCTCGGACAGGCAGGTAAACTGTCGCAGTTTATCAGCTACAGTTAAATCATTTGTTACGCTTATTGTTGAGCTTCTGCTGTTTTACAGTCCGATATCAGACTATTTGCAATACTGACACATGGAGTATGTTTGTGTAGTTAAAAAAAAAAAGTTCAAGCGCATAACCTCTCTACTCATTAACATAACTACTAAAACATGTGCAAGTAGCAAAGTAAAAATGAGAAAGTTTCATTGTACCATCATGTGCTGTAGTTGAATAAATCATCTTAGGATGTTTAGGACATCAGAAATAAGGTAATAAAAATACATTGCCAGCTAGACAGTCAGCAGATTTAGGCTGATTGTTATAATTATTTATTGGCGGTATTATCCTGGGGTGGCATGATGTCCAGTGGTTAACATGGTTGCTGCACAAGAGGACGGTTCTAGGTCAGAACCTGCATGCCCTCTCACAGTCCAAAGACATGCATGCTAGGTTAACTGATGATGACTGTAAAATGGCCGTTGGCGTAAATGTGAGGGTGCATAGTTTTTGTGTGTTTCTGTATTAGCTATGTCATGAGTGCCCTTCTTCTTCTTGTGTGTCAGCCCCTGCCTGGGAACGAGGTTGGTTCAACAGTGTGTCTACATTGTGGGAGTCTGGTTCTGTGAATCACTGGAACCTGTATGTGTGTGAGAGAGACACAGAAACACAAAGTGAGAGATTTTGTAGCTCTTTTGTAAGCAGAGGCCTCTTTGTCATTGTATCAAAAGAAGAACAAATAGGTGTTTTAGAATGAGCCACTGACCCTCTAGCGTCTCCAGTTATCTACTTTTGCCCTGTTTGTGCACTTAGAGGTACAGCAACAAGCTGTTGTTGTGAATAAATGCTGACATGACAGGTTGTTCAAAAGGATCTGCTCAACCAAATCTAGAAGAGAAAACTATTTCACTTTCCTTAAGTGATACATATGTAACTTAACCAGAGTTGGTGATATCCTCCGCTGAGATTGTCCCATTCACCTTTAGCACATTTCAGATAAATTGGATTTTGTCCGTGTTTTCTTTATCTAGAAGCAGTGTCTCACAGACTTCACCATGACTTTGCCATAAGAACTATTTCCTGAGTGCACAGTATTCTAGTCGTTATAAAAACTCAAAATAATGTCTAAAAAAAGCTGAACTATCTTTACCACTAAGTGCTACCAGTGACACTGTTGAAACGACCTTCCAGCTGTTCTTGTCGTTCCTCTCTGTCTCTCTTACAGTTTTCCTCTCTCTCCTGTCTCCCCTGTTCTTCTTATTGGCAGAAAACTTTACTGACGCCACAGGTCTAGGTAATGGGCAGCGTGTTTGCCTGTCACCTTCTCCCACCCCCATTCTCCACGTTTGTCTGTCTCAAGCACTAACAGCAGCAGTACAGTCCACCTTCCTTTCCCTCCTGTATTGCCCAGTAAAGTGCTGTTCTACAAGCCCCTACAGCTCAAATGAACTATTAAAGATTGGACAGTACCACCTGTGAACTAAACTGTGAACTACCTCACAGCAGGGGCAGCAGGTTATTGCAGCATACATTTTGAACTGGGCTTTTCGGTGCCTAATTTCCAGATGTAAACAACATAGCACAAAAACGTCCTTTAATGACAATGTTTGCTTCACTCTGCTGAAAGACAGTTATTTTTGTAAAACAAGAGTTATCTGAAGGTTCGTTGAAAGCAATTCATAGGTGAACTCATAACAGTCATGATAAAATATCTGAAGCTGTAATTAAACACAGATTTAACTGTGTTTTTGCTGTTAAACTGAACTGCTGTCTGTGCTGTTTTTCTTTTTGTCCATCAGCCCCTCCTCATCTCTCCATCCTTCCTCTGTTTAGCTGCTGTTTGCCTGCTGCTGTGGTGTGCTGTCAGGGATTGAATAAATCTGTTTACCGCTTGTTTTCTCAAAGACTCACATGTTTAGTGAATTGGCTATTTACCACGTCAGATAATACCCATCACATACTTAACATACTCTAAACCTTTGGTGTCATGTTCTGCTAGATCAGTACAATCCTCCTTTATTGTCTGTATTTATGGTGTCCTTTAATCCCAGTCCCTGATGGCGCACCTTCACAATCTCACAGCATCACTGCCTCTCTCTTTCTGCTCTGAGACACAAGTTATCCTTGTGTAGCACCTCATGCGTTTTCTGTCATTCTCACTGCATATGTCATGATGAAACTGCTGGTTTGGGTGTGTGCAGGGGATGGGAAGAGGTGCACGTCCTTGCATTAGAATTTCAAGACAGTGAGTACTATAAGTATTTTGATGAAATATGAGATGTGATTGGAGTGCTGGGAAAGGACACACTCCATCCGCTTGCTCACTGACTCATTGGCTTGATTATTTTGCTTCTGAGCTTTTTCAAAATGTCACTCTGCCATCTTTATGCATCCCTTGTGTTCAGTGGGTCAACAGTACATTCTGGGGCTTACAGGTAAGGCGGCTTGCAGCTTTAGGTTGAACTAATCTACTTCAGCGAGCTGTAAGGGCTCCTGAACATGCTGGTCTTTACCTCATTCTGCAGTTTGAGTGCATGCTTGGAATCCGCCTGATATTACAAGCATGCTGGCTGGGGTTTGGGGTTGTATGAGATACATATTTGGGGTGGAGACATCAGTAGTGAGACCCTTTGCTGCCTGGAGATGATCTCAACTTCAAGGTACAGTAGGAATGAATTCAGTGGAAAAGGAAGAGCCGGTTTCCACTCTGAGATGGGTCTGGTCCCCACAAGGGGGCATCATTGAGTCACAAAGGTAAAAAAAATAAGAATAAAAAAGTCAAACAAGGGCAGAGTGTTTAAAAATGTTCCATAGTAGTGTCAGTGTATCGCAAAACAGGAACTTGAATTAGTAAATGTACATGTTAAAACAGGTGGTATCTAATTAATCAATAAATCAGAAAGGTTAAACATTTGAATTAGAATTCATTTCTAGTTACCAGCGCTTTACAACTTACATGCTGTGTTCCTGACACATCTGATCAGTACCAACAGTTCTTGGGGTGGATTGCCAGTGTTACCACATAACTATTGTAATTCATAGCAAGGCCTCGAAATGTCACCTAAGTTTACTTATCAACTATATACTATAAAATAGATGAAAAGTTGATGGCTGATGTGATAAAGGAGAAAAGGGAAAATGAGTATTTTTAACAGCAGTTGTAAGCATTGTCACTGTTTGGAAAAATTCATGACTCCAGTTTGTGACACACATTTTTGTTATTCATTTTTCATTAGACTCAACAAAGGTAACTCATTCATGGTTGCATGTGAAGTTGATTGTCTCTAAAATCAATAATAGTGATATCAATCATTACTGAAATAAAATAAAAAATACCTCGAATGTGTTTTCCGGCCTAGTTCCTAAAAGACTCAATACATTACCCGGTCATTTTTAGCATAACACAGAATTAGAGGCATGTTGCAATATCAGCATTTGTCCTCTTGGTGGCAGTGGCGATCAAGTGTGGAGGGCAATGATGACAAAGTGTGCATGGAAACCATTCAAATGAACACTGTGATCATTTATTCTGTCAAGATGACTTCAGTGTGGCGTGTGGTGTGCAGGCTGAGGAGTGTTGCTTGTGGGGAGTTACTGGTGTGTTTCAGCTCAAGGCTCTGCTGACTTTCTCCTGTTTGTGTCAGTGTGTGGCTCTGTGTTTGACGTTCCTGCTGCCATGTCTTTAACCCTCTGCTCTCTCCCTCCTCCTCCCTTGTAGTCGAGCTTACCGACGCCTCCGTGTCTTCTGCTTTCACTCCTACTCCTCCTCCTCTCGCTCCTCTTCCTCCTACTACCATCGCTCCTACAACCATTAGTACCTCAACTACTACCACTCCTACAACTACGACTTCTACTACCACGACTACTACTCCTACTACCACTACTACTACTACCACCACCACTACTACGGAGGCGAGCACTACCACCACACTCCCTGTGCTGGTCACCACCAAGCGTAACGATCAGAACGTGTTGGGTACATGCTGTTGTCCCATTGTGGTTGTTACTGTCTTTCTAGTGTTTTAATTGAGCATGAATTGCACCTCATGGATGTGAAAAGACAGTTGCCTTCTCCCACCTGACAAAACAGGAAACTACATCAAGGCTGCATTCTGATAAGCTGCGCTGTACCTGCTGCACAAAAAGTGGGGAATTACTTCAGAATATTTGGATGTAGCCAGCAACTATCCTTGTGGTCAGGAAGTGAGAATCCAAACTTCATAAAGTAAACTGTTAACAACTGTAAAGTTTTTGGAGAGAGTTTCCTTTACATTTAGAGTGATGAGGGTTTTCCTGTTTCAGTTGATCAGACAGGGTTTATTATTATTATTAGCATTGGAGTCCACTCTAAGCAAGAAGTAAACATTACAGTGTCATGAACTTAAAAATTCCCTGGAATTTTATCGTGGGTGAATTTTCTGTCCATGAACATATTAAACTTACTTTTGGTTTTGAGTGGATCATGATTGGAGTAAGTCCTGGTGACAACATTCATTATTGTAGGAAGATTCCCATAGTAGTAGCACCATGCATAGGTCTAAAAGGAGCCCTGTGTTTGGTTGTTGTAACTGTGCCCTCTCTGCCCCTTGCCCCTGACCTTCAACCCTTTACCCCTGACCCCATACCCCCACCCCACCTTGTGTAGTGGCCCCTGGGATCTGGGATCTGACGGTGGTGCCTAACAGTGACTACGCTAACGTCAGCTGGAGTCACAACTTCCCGGCCGGCAGCAGCGAGTTTGTGCTAGAGTTCACACTGGACAGTAAGAAACCAGACCAAGCCCACCTTGAGCCATTGAAGCCTAAAGCCAGGTCGAAGCATAATTGGAAAGTACACCGACCAGATTGGGGAGATAGTAATGAAATTACAAGGTGACACTAAGTAGGCTATGAAGTGTCGGAGCAGACAGAGAGCAGGCAAAGTTGGTCCAGTTTACAATTATGTCTTGACTGCTAAGGATTAAGACCAGTTCTAATTATTAAGCCCTAATCAACATTTGAAAGACTGTGTGTGATGTAGTTTATTTCGTTGTTGCTACCAAACATTGTAGCGAATGAACTGTTTTGGCATTGTCTCACTCAACTTTACTTTTCAGCACTGCTGGCATTTTAATCATGAGTTATTTTCTGCATGTTAGTCATATCAGCTAGATGAAGCCACAAGATAAGTAGGTATTAGATTTCAATGCGTGCCATTACAGCTCTTTTATCAGAAATAGAGAATATATAATATGTTCTCATCAGAAGTTAATCTGTAACAGCAGATGTGCGCTGTTGGCCTGTTCTTTTTTAAGGCCATGTTAATCGCACCTAAAGGTTTATGTGTAAATTTGAACACTTAAAAAGGCAGAAGGTACCACAGTCTGTGTCTGTTGTTCTCTCTTGCACTCTTTCTGTCCCTGTTTGGTCTTTTGTGTTTGAAAATGGCGATCATCATTATGTCACTACTAACTTTGTGTGCAGTGCACCATCATGATAGTTTGGTTGTAGCCTACTGCCTGGCTTTGAATTGCTCTTGTTGGACCAACACTGTGAATGGGCTGTTTAGCTTGCTGCCGATAAACTGATGTTTAAATGTGTCACTTCTTTGGTCATCCATGCTTTCATCATCATTTGCTTTCGCTTCAGGCTGGGTGTTGCGAGCTCTTGAATCCCGCTTTGATAAAACCCATCATCCCTCCTTTACTGACATCCTACAGCTGGTTGAAATTGGATAGCCAGGCACTCATACACATGCTGTTATAGCTGTCTACCAATTCAACAGGCTTTGATTGAGGATGGAAAGAAGGCAGGATGCATTTTTTGTGTACTTGGGCAGTGGTTTTAATTCTTAATGATGTTTGAACATGAACAGATAGAAAAAGGATGACAAGATTGATCTAATGGTCTCCCCTCCCACTTACCCCTGCTCTCCACGGTCAAGTCCGAAAGCTTTGACACTAAGGAAGAGTAGCAGGGAGCTCCTGGCACTCTTCCACCTCCTATCATCAACCTTTCATCCTCCTTCTGTCTGTCAGAGCTTTAGCTAGAGGATGATGCTTTGGTGGCAAAAGAGGGGATAGTTGTTATTACCTGCCATGATAAAGGAAGGAAAATGTGAGTAAGAGTCAGCAAGTCAGCATATGTGATATAAATTGTACATTTATACAAAGGTAAATATTTGTATTGCTATCTGTTCCTGTAAAATGTAGAGCTATTGTTCCATACTGTAAAAATGAGAGTACAAGCTGCTTGAAGTATAACTAAAGCTGCTGGACTGATTCTAAATTGTCCATAGGTGTGAATGTGAGTGTGCTTGTTTCTCTCTCTGTGTAGCCCTGTGATAGACTGGTGACCTGTCCAGGGTGTCCCCTGCCTTCACCCTAAGTCAGCTGGGATAGACTCCAGCCCCCCGCGACCCTAATGAGGATTAAGCGGTGTATAGATAATGGATGGATGGATGGATGGATGGATGGATGATCTTGTTCTCTCACACACAATTTTAGAGAATTACATGTGCTTATCAAGAAGTGAGGAGGCAATACATGCAGTACAGTGAGGACATAAGGAAGAGACTGTCAAATTACAGTTACATTTACACAGTAAAGATATGGCTTTTTACTTGGTAGTGAAATGTTTTTTCTGATGTTAAAACATCAGGAATAATCTAAAGTAAGTTATTTTACAGATATCACAGTAGGACATTGATGCAGAAGTGTATCGACAGTAATTGTTTCAACCAAATGCATTTCTGCTTCTTTTTTTTTTACAAAATGTTGTGGAAGAAGGATTAGGATAGGGTGGTGGTCCATACATATGGCCTTTATCCAGGAAAGACTGGTGGTTTAAAGTGTAAATATTTCAATCAGCAGCTTTGAAGACCATTGCTTTTGATTTTTGTGCACTAATATCAAAATGTTAGGTGTACCACAGTGTACTTAACATTGGCCTTCTCATAGCACTGCCTGACTAACGATGTAAAAAGAAAAGCTCGCCTTCTCTTGTATCTGCTTTGGATATTTTCTTGGCTGGTTTGAGGACTGTCTTGAATAGCATGGCTTTGGAATGAATTCTGTTTATGATATGAGCCTTGTCAAATGGTTGATAGCATGGTGCATGATGTCACCTCCTCACGCTGCCCTGTCCTGTCACTGCCACTTCAGAGTCATGCTCATAGCTCGGCCATGTCATGACAAACGTGTCTTTCCACCGGAAAGATGTAGGCTGTTGTTGGGTGTTTTTCTCTTTTGACCTCATGGAGATAAAAGTGTGAGCCTGTGAATAACTGAGACAAACAATGCTTTGCCATCCTGGCTCCTGATGTTACCCAAAAACAAAAAGGGTTTGTTTCCATTTCAAGTCTACCAGGTGGAACCATGGCAAGGCAGGTGTATTTGTAAAGCACAATTCATACCCAAGGTAATTCAAAGTGCGAGTAATGCATGATGTAGTTTGTAGTTTAATTTGGTTTGTAATTCAAACCATCGTGCACAGTGGCCAGTTCATGAGCCAGTTTAGTCGTGTGAGACAAGAGGCTTTGGCTAAAGCAGCACCTGTCCCTTGTGCTCCTCTTTTCCTTCACTCCCCATTTTTAGACATGCTTTCTCAAGCAAATTATGCCATTAAGAGAAAAAATAATCTCAGCCATCAAAAAAGGAAAATGAACCAGAATGTGTCAGCTGAATTGAGCTTCAAAGAGTTGTACCTTATGTATTGAGTATAATGGCCAAACACCGTAAACTGCATCATGCATATGCTTCTATCCTGCCAAGAGTTGAATGAATCTTTAAGTTGGAGACGGGCACTGCATTGTTATGAGTCTCATTGATTTTAACAACCCTGCTATCAGTCAGAAAGACCAGCCACCCTACAAAGCACTGTGATGCCGTGACTTTTGCTAGAAAGCACAGCTGTTACTGTGGAATGAAGGCCACACCCCCCGGAGTGTCATTGGCCCCTTTCTTGTGTTTCCAAGGCGACAAGACGGTGAAAGTTGTATCGGTGAAACAACAGCCCCCCATTACTGTGGCGGATCTGATCGCAGGCGCCACGTACCACCTGAGGGTTTACTCCCATGAGCTCAACAGCATCAGCAGCAATTCTGTCACCTTTAAGACCAAACCAGGTGAGACCACACCTGGCCAGGTGGAACCAGGGTTCCAGCCAGGTGGGCTACTCTGGGTGCAAGTGTGTCACTAGTAGTATCGACAGTTGCTCAGTCAATGCTGGGTGAGTTATCATGGTTTGTTTTTTTATACATTGCATGTTATTCCAAAAGTCAACTCTGGTCAGTCACAATAAGACACCGTCTACATTTGGATGCACCCAATTTCAGCTTGGTTGTCTTTTTTGAGCGGTATATATCACTTATGAAACCATGTAAAAGTTGCATTTTCGTGAGAGTGGAATTTGCAAACCTTCACTCAGTTTTTCTCACAACTGACATATTCTCGTCTGTGAAGTCCAGACTTATAGGTTGTTGGAAAAGAAGATACACATCTAAAGTCTTCTTAGTGTGCCTGGACACAATATGTATAAGCTCTGTATCGTGTAGCTTAATATCTCTGTGACTATCGGACAGCATATACTGCGGCTCATTACTGTATGAAGGAATTATAAACTATGATGGATACTTACTATTGATTCTGCATCATTAATTAGATTCTTTGAGTCCTGTATCTCACTGCAACACTAACCTGACCTGTTAAACGCAATCTAAAAAGTAATGTTGACATTAAAGTAAAACAAAGCTGTTATTTTTTCACTAGGACCCGATCAGACTCTTGACCACACGAGTCACAGTTCTCAATTAACCAAAGAGTGATCATACACAACGATTTCTAACAAAGCAACAAGAGTCCTTTGGGTCTGAGTCAGTCTCAGGAGTGAACTGAAGCGGTTTCTCTAAAGGCACATGCTTTTTATACTTTTTGCAGCCCTTCTCACTGTGAAGCCTAAATTGTGACCCATCCTCTCAGCCTTAACTGACAGCTATCGAAACAGTAAACCCCGGTACTCATGTTTGTTCAGTAATTTAATGCCGTATAGAGTTTCTTCAGTCTGTTTTCATCCACAGTTATATTCCATATCACCTCTCTGACATATAAATATATAAATCTTTATAGTGTTTACCAGAAACCTGAACTTTTTGCTGTGATTTCTTTTGTTTTTTTGACATTGTTTGCAGGCTGATGCTGTTTTAATGTTGTTTTAGAGTTATCATAAGTATAAGTTCCTCACCAAATACATTCGATTTATGACAATATACAAAATGCTATTAGAAAAATTGAGGATTCTTTCTGGTAATCTGTGATTGGCTTATAACTAAAAAGTATGGAAGTGCTGCAAAAGCAAGCAAAATATAAATGTTCATATCAGAAAAAGTCCATTGTTGAAAACAAAATGTTAATGTACAAACTGTGACGCTGAACAAGCACAGTTGTTTTGATCCTCACACATCCAACAGTAAAACAACCTTTATTAGACTCAGTTTACATAACACTCATATAGAATCACCATTTAGTGTTTTTGGTAGCACTTTGTTGACTCGGTAGCATGGAATTTTTCAATATAATGTAGCTAAGACTGTATCTGTCTTTTTTCTTTTGTTAGTGTTTATTGATTAAGACAGATGGAAATAATGTCATGACTCAAACCAGCTGTCAGTGAATTATCCAATTACATGAACTCTCAAAAGTTGTAAACATGGGAATTTTTCCTATCATTACTTTACATCCCACATGGCATAAATGTGCAACAAATGCAGTTAATTCTCCAAACATGTTTATTGTTTGTTTTGGAAGGAATGATGGAGGTTCAGTGGAAAAAGATTTGTTTCAGCTGTCATATGAGACCACTAATAACTGGACCTATATGATGAAAGTCTATGCATGTTTCATGGAAACTTTGAAGTGTTGTTTACATATCAGTCATCCTGTACTATTGGCAGCCGTCAAAGAGGCTCTGTTCTTTCAGTTTCACCGAAGCCTTCCACACACAAGCCGCTGTCTCCCTGGCTTTTTAGATTAAAATTTCAACTCAGGATAATGGAAACACCAACACGTTAATTTCACGGATGGGATTCTTTTTATAACATCAGTCTGGATAGGAGCTCGTCTGGGAATAATGAGATGCTGGTTCTGTTGACATCTCCGGCATGAGAACAGATTATCTGGTGTGTTGGCTCTGATTCATGGTGGTCCAGAAATCACTCACAGTTCTTCCACTCTTCTCTCTCTTCTCCTGTCCTGCCCTGTGTGTGTGTTCTCTGTATGTCCTCAGCCTACATAGACCATGTGGACATAGCCACTCAGGGCTGGTTCATTGGTTTGATGTGTGCCATTGCCCTCATCATACTGATCTTACTCATCGTGTGCTTCATCAAGAGGAGTCGCGGCGGCAAATACCCAGGTAAGGCTATGGAAACACGAATTCCTAAAAGGTTTCTCCACAGTAAATGTATGTTTAAATGGTTTTTATTTAACTCAAAAACATTCATACATAGTTGAATTATGCTCATGAGAAAGTTTGGGATGCCAAATGCCTCTAAGTATTTAAGTTTTTTGCATTGACAAATGATTTGCCACAGTAATCAGTAACGACACATCCCATTGTGTTCACAGAATTATGAACAAGGATTGCAAAATGCCAAAATGATGTGATTCAGTTTTATGCAAAAAGTTTTACGAAGCTCAGATTCTAACTTTTGTTTGTCATTGCCAAGACAGGAACCAAAAAAATGGAAAAACCTTTTGTATATTTTATTGAATTTTCAATTTTTTGTGAAGGTTTGCCTTTCATAATTTGGTCCTTTTATCAGCCATAGTAAGCTGTGCTGAAAAGGAGTCACCAATGTAGTTTTTGATCAGTGATAGAAGTGGTTTGGCAGTTTGATGTGTTAAATGTATTAGTTAGGGCTATTGTAATATCAGCAGTTGTTCTTCCAATAACAGACCAGTGTCCAAAATGTCAGCACCTGTTTTAAAATAAGAACTACAGGTC